GGCTATGAACCAAGGAGAAAAAAAAAAAAACACGAAACCAAAACCAACCACAAACCAAAACCTACCTTCCCTTCTGGACAGAAAGAATTATTCCAGTAAGCAAAAATTATTTTAAAAGCTATTTTTTGGCTAAGAGTAGGAGCTGTAGTGTACTAGATACATAGATTATGTGGATTTATTTTTGTCACTAGAGACTCTGTGACCCACGTAGCTAGAATATCATCAATACCAAATAAGCAATAGTAAAACCAGAGTCTGACTTCAGGAAAAAAAAAGAGAGGACAAGTTCTAAAGCAACCAGCAAATAAACTGATTTCATAGGAAGGCTCTTCTAAGCAGCAGAACAACAGATTTCAAAATACGTTGAGGCCTGGCAGTTACAAACTGACACTTAGCCCACCACTGTGGGCTTAGTGACCTTAACCCACAGGATTTCATAGGCAGTTGTGTATCAGAACAGGAGCTAGCAAGGCAGATCTTCTTGGCTGGAATGGATTAGAGAAGGATAACCAGTTGTGATCCCACTAATCCTGTTCCAGTCTGTCTGCGGATTTTAGGCAAGCAAGCTGTGGCAGAACATCTGTTATGTGTGCACTGGCAATGTGGTTGATTTCTTAGTTTCAGAGTTGGTTTTGCTTGGTTTTTTATTTACATATATAGATGCACTTGTTTTCAATGTTTATTTTTACTTTTGGCTGTACTTTTCCTATGCTTGCGTAATTGCCAGCATTGATAAAACATTGTCTCTTTGCTTGGAATTCCAACTAATTATAATTAATCACAATTTCTACATTGTGTTCCTTTTCTGGCTTTATATTTTCCAAGACAAGAATCTCTCTACTGATTTACAAGACTCCTCTTGCTTTCTATTCAATCTTGGTAGTTTCTGTGAGAGCAGCCTTCTACATCTGCCAAGCTAAGGGAGAAAAGGATTATTGGTCTGTGAAATTCATAGAGTTGATGAGGTTGAACATAGAAAATAAGCAAGACTTACACCTCCTGTTCATAAAAATGACATGCCAAGGGAGATGAAGCAAATAGTATTTGTAGTAAGAGCATGATATTATGAGAATCACTTGACATACTACCTTCCAACAGAAACTTTAACTTGCTTCGGCTGTGTTTTTGGTCTGTTAAATAATATTCCAAATATATTCCCTGTGAAAACTTTCTTCGTTCACCTAGTAGCCTGTTCTGAAAACCAAACTGTAACTTTATTTTATCCAGTTCCCTTCCTATTTGATTGCAAATATAATGCAGCTGCTGCAAAACATTGTTCTATCTGACCTGCAAACCAACCAAAAGAAAAAAAAAAAAAAGCTTGTGTGTGTTGTTTGGCACAATGGACACACAAGCTGAAAATTTTATTAATGCCAGTTGCAGACAGTGATACAATTATAGAATTAGACAAGTATGCATGGCTCTCTGAAGGATTAATACAATATTTGAGAATGCGAAGAAAAACAATTCTGGATGTCATTTCTGGACTCCTTATAAACAGCAACTATAATGGGTGGCTATGTCTGGAAAGCAGTACCTAAAATAGAAAACTCTGATTACAATGTTTCTCCCGTGTCTAGTGTTGTTCTTCTGTGCATAAAGGAAAGCAATCAAAAAAATCACTTGCCAAACTCAGAGTGTGTGGCTAAACACAACTGTTTAGCCTAGTGTTTAAAGTCATTATCTGCAAGAGGTAAAAACCTGGTTCACTTAATTTCTCCCAACCTTTTTGTGGCTATCACAGATATTCCAATAGTTTAAAAAAAGAGACAGGTTTGGTCTCAGCATCCAAAACTGTGGTTATATATCCTCAAAGGCTGCCTTGAAATATTTAGCTATTTTCTGTAGAGGTGTGGGGTTTTCCTACTAAAAGAATTCACTTCTATGCAACCCAGAATGTGGAAGCAGTTACAGTTATAAAATACAAAATTTATCCCTCATCCGTTACAGCAATAAGCTCTTGAAGTACAAGAATCTTTTTATTATGCCAACATTAAGAAAACATACCCCTCTAACTATCAGTAAAGAGAAGGTTTGGTCTGTGTCTAGATGAATTTGTTAAATCCAAAACATATTCAGTGAGGCTTGAATCAGTGACTTAACTGACTTAAAGTAAGCACATGCTGAAAAGTTTGTAGAGTTGGAAACTTGGTCTTACTTTTCAGATACAGTCTTTTTTGAAGCCCTTATGTTGTTAAGATTCAAACTTCAGAAACTTATAAACTACCAGAAAATTAGATCTTGAAACAAGCCTGTGATTTTTAGTTCAGTAGAAACAAAAGAACAAATAAAACCAGTTAAATGAACATAAACCCCCGAACATTTTCCAGCAAGGGCAAGGTTTTGTGATGTCTGAAGCAAGATTACTAGTGTCTAAATTCTCATTTTTGAGGATAATGATGTTTTTGGAATAAAGCTTTTCCTGACAGAGATGCCTTTTCTTACATAAAAGAAGTCTGAAAATGCCTTCAGCACTTTTCTAAAACAAAACAAAACAAACAAACAACAAACTAACAAAACAAACAAATAAAACAAAACAAAACAAAACAAAAAAAAAACCCACACCATTCTCTCTGGTGACTTTATAGTTTTGTTTTGTTTTGTTTTGTTTTTTTCCATTATTAAAAGAGAGTGCAAATAAAGGGCTGGTCAATAAAGAATTTTAGTTGTTTATGTAATCTAAATTCTTTCCCCTTTGTTCCTAAGCAGTATACCTTTTATTCATATGATCACATACTGTTGGTTTTGTTTTGTTTTTTTGGGTTTTTTTTTTGGTTTAGGTACTTTTTTTTTTTTTTTTTTTATGTAATGTGACCAGCATGCAGATGGATAGGACACAGAGAACAAATAACTCAGAAATCTCCATGATTTCCACCTCCTGTTATGTGTCAATAAATGAAAATGTTTATTATCCAAATCTAATACTAAATCTAAAATTATTTGTTTCCATTTAAGCTCTACTATGGTGCAAATTGCTATAGCATGTGATTATTTATAACCCAATTTTGCAAAAGGGAAAATGCAGCTTTGGGAAATTAACACTGAGGTGTTTCAAATATTTCTTTCTGCAAGTGATCTAGCAGTAAGAGTGAGGAAATCTTTATTGTCTGGGTTCAGGTAAATTCAAATAGAAAAGGGAGTTGAACCTGTTCTCCCAATCTGAGGTGAATAGTATAATCACTGGGATTCTTGGTATAAAATTACCTCCTTTCACTGTTTTGTGCTTCTTTTCCATTATTTTTATTAGAAGTGCCTGTGAATTACCTATTTGTCAAGGGTAGCAAAGAACTCTGGTTTTCATAATAAATAAATCTTTGCTTTTCACTGTGATACATACAGAATGTGGTTATTTTAAAACTATATTTGTTTTGCTTTTGATTATTCCACATTAGAGATGGAAGATCAGTCTCCTAATATTAAGGTCTCTACCATTTCTAAACTGTGAATATGATATCCAAATTAAGTTTTCATTTTTATTTTTCTCCTTTATAAAACTTACAATCTTTGGCTATGTGATTAACATTTTTAAAAGAGTTGCACCAGTTATGTAATGAAACTGCTATACCTAATTCCCTTATACATTATTTTATCATTCAAAATACAGTAGTGAATAATTCTTAAAAAATAGAGATTAACAAAGTTCTATCCTTACTTGAAATTGAGTTTCATGGTTCATTAATTTGGGGAGTATTATCTGTTTTTTTTTGCCAACTTCTAATCTCAAAGAAACTCCATTAATAACCGGTTCAAAAACACAGTTTTGACTTAAATAATCCTGACTATGTTTGCAAATTATCAGGTAAAATTACAAAAAGAAAGAGAAAATAGTGAAACAGTGGAGAGTATAGAGTAAAACCAGTGATAGAGATTAAAAAAAAAAAATACCTAGTAAACAAACAAAAAAAAGCATTAATTAAAAAAGAACTAGAAGGAAACTTTCATACAAAGTAAAAGAAAAAATGAAAATCTGTAAAATGGGATGAATTTGGTTTACACAGTGGACAGGATTGATTGTTTACCAAGCAAAAATTACTTTAAAACATTGTAGATTGAAATGACAGTGCCTCATTCAGAACATTCATACTAGTATTAGTTGTAGCCCTGAAATTACTGAGTGTGGATATATAGGTATTTCTGGTTTATTCACCTTTGACAAATACCTGATTTGGATTGGATTCTGTACAGATTAGTTTGTTCCAAAATGTTTTTAAAAAAATAAATTTTATGAGGTTGTGACAAAAAATGAGAAAATTGTCCTTTTTTAATGAGAAGTAGAATCAGGGTTTTTTTCTGATGAGAATTTATTTGGAATTCTCCTGTATAATACATGTATTGCAGCCTTGGGCTCAGACAGAAAAGCTTCCATGAGTAATAACTATAAATAGTAAGACAATTTCTACTCTTTCCTGGCTTGAGTAATGTAAATGAAAACACGTAAATAACAGAAATGATGGAAAATAAATTCCACTGCAATTTATTCAGTTTGATAGGGTTTAAGTGCTTTTCATTCTAGGTAATTGGACCCTTGCTTTTACAGACATCTCTCAGTCTTCCTGCAGGATCAATATAAGTTCAAAGCCTAAATCTTTAAATCCTTATTCATTGTTTTGTTTTCTTCTTCTGTCTTATGTTAGAATAAAGGTGGCACTTTACTATGGTAAGTCACATTTAAGAGTGGACAAAAGGACAGATATTTAAACTTCCAAAATGTAGTGAAGGTTAATATGCCGTTCTTTTAACTTCATTTTTTCCATCTTAAACTATCCAGACTAAATATTATTTTTAGGATTCTGATTATGTTGTAAACTACAGGAAGAAACATTATGAACACAGGCCAAGCTTTACAACAGAATTTTAGAAATTGACAGAGGCTGAGTCCTGGAGGTGAGCTGTGCATCTGCAGCAGGAGCAGGCACAGGCCAGTGATGCAACTGCAACATTAAAAATGAGACAGGGCAGCTTTAAGAGAGAAACAGGAAGCTGTAACTAGAATCCAGCTGAATTCTGAACTGGGGCACTTTACTATGAGGCTGCAAATGAAACAGATGTGCTTGCTGTAAATTTCTTTAGTAGCTGGATTTTTTGTACCGAAGGTGGTAACACTTTCCTTCCTGTGATTTTTTTTTTATTTCGCAAATATTTTCCATAAGGAGAATGAAATGGAGAAGTTGAAGCAATACGTATCAGTGAAAGATGAAGATCAGTTTTATCATCAGGGAGCTGTGGAGTTGCTAGTCTTTAACTTTCTGCTCATTCTTACAATATTAACAATTTGGTTGTTTAAAAACCATCGATTCCGCTTTCTGCATGAAACTGGAGGAGCTATGCTGTATGGTGAGTATAAATTCAAGTGCCAGCTTAACATGGTACTAGTTGCATATTTATGATCAGGCACTTGAGATCAAGTGCTGAAAAAGCTCAGAAAATGTGCTGAATGAAATGTCATCAGCTCCATAACTGCACAGTAAAATAATAACGTAACAGCATCTCATGAAGTATCTAGAGGCTGACTTGATAAGAGAGCAACAACCATCATGGGCTGGTTATCCTCACGATGTGCACGTTATATTCTTCTATGGGCAGACAGCCACTGCGTAACACTATGGAAGTTAGGAAGTTTACTGATTTCAGAGAATGAAATGCCCTCAGTGGAAGGGATTATTTGGTTTGCCTATTTTCTATGCTTGTTTTATATAACATGCAGAGGTGTTAGACTAAGGAGCCTTGTGGATACAGCCATGTTTAATGTCTGTTAAAGTTTAAATGATCTTAAGATTTTTCTTTTGCCTTTTTTTCCTATGCCTTTGAAAAACACACTATGAAGAATGCCTCTCTCAAGTCTTCTCTGAATGCTGTCATTGTACTGTAATTTCGGTTTGCCTGTCTAGTGCTAATCTTCTTTTATGAAGTTTTGCAATATTGTATATCACTACCATGTAGAACATTCTGCATTGTCAACTGATAAGAAGTAGTCGCTAATTTAATGGTATACATTTATATATATAGTGATTTCTCTTACACTTTTTTCACTTCGAGTGAAGTGTGTGACTGCCATTTGTGTTACCATAAAACACATATAAGAGGGTAACACTGTCAAAATGCAAGATGTAAATCAACAGCTCAGTCATTACATATCTAAATTCCAGCCTGTTTTTACTCAGACTCATTCTGTGCACATCACATAGTCTAGCGGCCTAATGCCCGAAACTGATTTTGTTAAAATAGCACATTATGGAGAATATTCGTTTATCATGGCACACCACATGCAAAAAACTATGGAGGTTCAACTGCAAGCCAGCAACAGAAAAGTCACCTGACCCTTACATTGAAATGAAAGCTTCACTTGCTCTTTCTATATCAAGCATTTTAAGATTATCTCAGTTCTATAGGAGGACTGCAGCTGAAGATCAGTCTTCCTTGTATCCCTTTCAAACTATTTAATTAGTTAGATTAACTGTATGAAATTTCAAGAACACAGGCTATTTCATTTTCTTGGCTCACTTACTATCTTCACAAGCAATTTGATACTTTGCAGGAAAGCAAGTAAACAAGAAACTCTTGTATTAAGCCAGTCACTGAGCCCCTAACACCTGGGTCTGGGGGATGTCTTAATTCTTATCTGCTTTGCATTTATTTTACATTGTGAAAAACTATTTATTTGATAATATGCACTTTTTCTAATCTTGAAATCTGTTGCACATAAAAAACACACTTCAACTGAATCAGTTGAGACTGAAATACACATCACACAATACTTAGTTAAATGCAATGATTTTCATTGTCAGACATTACCTAGATTGCTGTTTAACAGTTTTATGGGCTACAAGCTACATAGCATCTCTGAAAATACACTTGTTTATTGCATTTCTATTAGCATCTCTCAAAAGGAAAACCATGAAACACTGTGCAATATATCATGATCAACTTGTAAATTACAACGTTTTTCAAATTACATGGGAGACTTATGTAGTATCTTCCTTTACACTATTATGCCATTTCCCAAGTGCAGCTGACGACATTTCTAGAAAATTTAGACAAAAGCCTATCAAAATAGAAACAAAATATGGAGGAATGCAACATTACACAAAATAAATCAGTATTTAATTAGAGTTTTATCTGTATTTTGGTTCTGTTTTGCTGCCTGCCCAGAACATAATCTGCACATCATGAGGATAACCAGCTCATGATATTCTTTTGATCAGTTAAGAGATTAGTGCCCCAGCAGGAGAGAGCTTTTGAATTATTAAAGCATTCATGAACAAAGGAAACATTCCTCATGATTGTAAACAAACTATCTATTTAGTCTTCCATTATTTATGGCAACCTTCAAACAGGGAAAAAAAGCTTATTTGTAGGATCCAAAAAGCTGACCTTTTTATCCTTAGAAATTTTGGATATGGGTTTAGGTATCTGTAGCATTGTGGAATAACAATAATGAAAAGAAAGTGGAATTTCAGAGGTCATGCTAGAGGTGTAAGATCAACAGGCAGCAACTTCAGGAGAAAGTCTTCACTACACCAAGCACTGACAGTGAGCTAAGTCATGCCCTCACTTATTTTCTGCCTTCATTATCAGAACAATTCTGGTTTATACCTGTTATGTAAAAAACAAAAGTCTTTGCCCTAAAGTTTGCTTGACTCCAGCCCATTGAGCTATTTGCTAAATATGTGAGTAGTAGCATAAGAAACTGATAATTTTGCTTCAAGTGATAGAAGAATATGACCACTTATTTGCAGACTGTGTCCCATAGTACAATAGATGGGTCTGTATTTTTTATCAAGACAGTGTGCCATCAGGGGTATGGCAGTGGAAGGGATAGAGAAAGGAAAATTGAGGAAAACCAGAGGGGGGAGAAAAAAAAAAAAAAAGACAAAAGTACAAAAACAGGAAGAAGTTTTGCAGTTACTTCAAAGTGCTGAACAGCCACAAATTGAACAACTAGGAACAGCCTGATAGTTCTATTTAAAGTACAGAAAAAAAAAAAAAAAAAAAAAGGGTTGTTTTGGGGAAGGAAAATGTAGGAAATGTAGAAGAATGCAGTTTTAGGCTGAATAGTTCCAGCTAAAAAAAGGGTCATATTTGAAAAGTGTCCATTTAGAAGCTTTAAAAACTGAGATGTATTATTTTTTTTTAGCAAAGTATTGGTTCAATAACAAATATACGTATATTCAATTTAAAAACCTTTCTGGAGTTACAAAGAAAAACCAAAGCATTTAGCATGCTTGGAAGTGAGGCCCAATCAGAGCTCTTGATTCAGTTTTGATGGAGGTGGCTAATGATTAGGCAATAGGATTCTTACACCTCCTAAATCCATTGTGCCTCTTGTGTGAATTAACTGTAGTTTCTTTCTGGTTTTGTGTTCTGAGTACCCCTTATTCTCAAAGGCAGCAATGTTTGTAACAAGTCCCAGAAAGAGGAATCACTAACCCTCAATAAAATAGAGTACTTCATTGTCTTCCTGACTACAGCATTCATAATGAATAGAGATTGTCAAGATTCAGAGGAAAGCATGGGAAAATCATGATCGAGACAGAAAATGACATTTTGTAGTGGATAGGTGAAGAGAGGAATAGCATTCTTGAGGCAAACAAAGAAATTTGGAAGAAATTCTAAAATATTTGGGAAAATCAAGTAGTGGCTAAAACTGCATCCCTGACTGTCACTATTAAGGGAGACATTTAACAGATGACTGTAAAATCCTGGGGAAAGCACAGCCCTGTTTAGCTCAGGAGTTTGGCATGAGAGATTTGAGATATCCCTTCCAATGCTGTCATCTATGATTAAGGATTTTATCCTGCTTTGACTGAAGAAGCTGGAAAACCTGCATTGCATTCAGTTGAGTCATGACTGAGCTCTAGTTAGAGTGAGATTTTGCTGCAAGATCTTACTTCAAAGTGCAATTGAGACTTTTAAAAAGAGATCAGTTACATTAGTTACACCCTTTTCTGTTTCAATCCTGCGTTCAAATAAATGTGTTTAAAACATTAATTAAATGTAGACTTGGTACTAGTTTTGAAGGAAAATGTTTTAAATAAGGGGAAGTTGAACTGAAAACATCTGTAATTTGATTTGAACTTCAAGAATACAAGATAGGTGTTCTACTTTGTGCTAGTAAACTCAAGCTTAGCCTTTCGTAAGAGTTTGCATTTACAATTACCTACATCCTTAACTGATGTAATACTATTTGAAACTATTTAATTCATGCTAACTAGTACCTTAATATAATACCCACTTGTGATGTCAGGTAACAGATGCAGCATCATTCCTGACTAATCTTCAGGGAGTTTCAACTGCTGAATTTCTAGACTTACATGGCAAAGTCAGGCTTTCTGTGCGTGCCACTATGAAATCAGAACTATTTGTACAGAAGGTATATTTTTACATACCAAAGTCCTTAGAACTTTGTGAGAAAATTTTCATGTTTAATTTTTCTGCCACAAAACACTGATTGCAAAGAAATTAGAAATTATTAGTCTTTTTTCATAGTAGATACATCCAACTGATAATTCCCAAGTGTTATTTTGTTTTATTTTTTTTCTTTAAATGAACTATAAAGAACGTTTTAGAAGATACATTACAAAAGCATAATTTTAGTTGGAAGGGAGAGTAGTGGAAAGGAGAGTACATTATTCACCTATTTAAAAATGTATTATTTATATTAGAATATGATCTGGGCTCCTGAATTCTATTATGAAAGAAATGTTATGTAATGATTTAAAGCACAAAGTGCATTCCATAAATGATACACCTACTAAAATATTAAATACACTCTGCTCAGATTTTTAATTCACTGGGGGTTTTATATAGAGTCTTTGGCACATTTATTATTACTGAAGGAAGAATACAATCCCATCATTTATATTTAGTCTTGCAGTATATTGTAGTGATAGCAACTGTCTTTGAACCTTCCACAGAGCATTTGAGAACATTCTGAATCAACCCATCATTATGGATCCCATCCACATTTTGTTCAAATTTAATACATTACAGAATTTCCTTCAGAGCTACATGGACCTCAAAGCCCCATTGATGCCCTAAGAATACTGATCATTAGAATCTTCTCTAATGTAATTTCTCAAATATGTGTATGCTGTTGGATACTTTCACAACTTCCTTCTTTCATTATCATTTCATTATTTGTGTGCCTCTGTACATTACCAAGGTCTGGACTCCATCAGAGGCTAAGATCTAAAGCTGGTAGAAGAAAAGCCAAAAGGCAAAATTCAACTCCAGTTGTAAATCTCAGTCAGTGTTGATCTTTATTTCTCCACAGCTACTGTGATAGTATTTTTAAAATACTCTTTTTCAGCAAATGGATTTATTTATACTCAAGAGCTGTCTTGCAGGACTAGGATCTACAATATTTCCATTTGTTTCCATTCCAGAAAATTCCTACAAAGGCAGTTTGAGACTACAGATGAAGATAACATATCTTCCCAGAATACAGAATAAGAACAGTGCTCTACTCCTAGTCCTAACTTGACACTACCGTTTGAAGCAATTTGCCCTTGATCAATTCAGTGTAATTGCATTACTCTAATTGAGAACATTCGTTTTCATTTTTAAAGCAATTAAACAGAATTTGGTTCAGAGTGTATGCTGTATTAACCAATATAACACACATACTAGGAGTCTCAGAATGTTGTGGGACACAGTAGTCCACCCGGCTATACAACAGATATCACATAAAGGCAATGTCAGCCAGTCTCCACTGATCTGCCTTGAGCAGTTCCATGTTGCCATTATGAAAGTTATTACATGTACTAGCCATGTAAACAGTTAAAGTTCAAAGGCTAAAAAACAAATCAGAAGAAAAACTCTGAATAGGAAGATTTAAACTCTTACTTTTAAAATAATTTTCATGCTCTCAGTTAAAAATAGTGCTATTTCCTTAAAGTCTTGTCTTCTGTTTGCAGCAAGACTGTTACTTGTACAAATAAGCATGTTGCCCATTGTTGCCAGTAGGACAGAAACAAGGCTAGTAGAAAAAAAGATTACTGTCCTACATAATTTTGGAAGACACAGTGTGAGGGTCTAGGTAAAACTATCCAGAAAAGACAGGTTAATATGAAGATGCTGTAAATGAACAGGTAAAAGTTAGAGACCACGAGATGCAGCAAGACCAGAAGTTGAGCAAGCACAGAAGAATCATGTCTGAGAATGATAATGAGGGACATACAGGGAAATTTGGTAAGCAGACAGAATGCAGAAGGAAAGAAAAGGGAAATTAAAGAGGAGACGGTGGGATGGGTGAACAGGTTGTAATGGCACATTCCTCTAATCAAACACTTCTTTCTCCTGACTATTGAAAACCTATTCTATCTTGTGACCTGATACTGATTCTAGCGAGCTGTGATGATGAACATTCCTGTTCTTGAATAGATTTTTTCTGCCAGTGTCCTTGCACAAGCATTGGTGGATGTCTGCAAAATATTTCTGTTACCTGAGCTGGTTAAGTCTATGTAATACCTAATAACAGAAGTGCAACAGAGACTATAGTTTAAAACATTGAATGATAGGAACAAAAATAGTGAAGGAAAAACTAGAAGTTTTATATTCCAGAGAATAAGAAGGAAACATCAAGTCTTGTCTAAGCCATCAAAGGAAGTTGAATTTTTAATCTATTTGAAAATGAATTTGAAAATGAAACATGTAGTTCTTCTAGAGAAAATCAAATAAAAATAAGATGAAAACACTGACTGTTTTAACTAATTAATGGTGTCCTGGGTTCTGACTCATGATTTTGGACATCTGGGGCTGACTACTGTACAAGTCATATTTCATAATGCAGTGCTTGCTTCCCTTTTCCCATACATGCTTTCCCCTAAAATTTCGAGGAATTCTGTCTTTTACTACTGCTAGATGATTATCTGATTTGTTGAACAAATACTGTATAATTTAAGATAGTGGCCTTGGGATTTTCTGCTGCTTATTCATATCCTCTACCGTTTAAAAAAACCAACCTTACAAAACGATAGATACAAAACAAGCATAAACACATATGCATACTAAACAAGCAAGACAGCTGTTACTCTGTTGTAGCATCAGTGCAGGAAGCTACAAACTTGCCTTACATGTATGCTAGAAATCTGCAGTTCAGAGTGTCTCTGTTACAGGAAAATGTGACAATAACAAAGCCATCATATTTATCTCTCCATCCATTTATGATCACTTTTATCACCATGGCATCTGATTACTGGCTAAAACTTAAACCTTAACATCATATTTTTCAGATGCTTATCAGCAATTTCCTGTAATTTTATTTCTCTCTTATCTTTCATAACTATATCTAGATGTTTACTAACACTGAAAAGGTGGTGTTCTACCTTTAATAGAGTTAATTTTTCTCCAAATCAGTAACTGTGTAGCATCAGAGATTTAAAAGTACCTGAATCTCTCTGGTTTTGTTTTCGTTTGGTTTTGGTTTTTTTTTTTTTTTCACTCTCCAGGCCTTGTAATGGGATTAATTATACGATATGCAACAAAAGCATCAGATGTTGAAAGTGGAACTGTTTATGAATGTGAAAAGCTGAAAACTGGGCCATCCACTCTACTTATTAATGTAACTAACCAGGTCTATGAATATCAATACAAAAGAGAAATCAGCCACCACAATGTCAATGATCGCCAGGGCAATGCAATGCTTCAAAAGGTAACACCTATCTTATTTTTGTTCTAAACTATGTGAGATATTTCTTTTCTTTACACCCTTGAGAGTAGAATACAAGTTTCAAACTAAAATGTGACAGATAGAGAGAGAGGCTATTCTGTATTTAGGGTGAGAAGGGTGAGGAAGCAGACCACAAAAGGAAATAAGGTGCAGCCATCATTTAGCATACAGCTGGCTGTATGTTTGCAGAATGCTTGCACCTTTTAGGTGACAGTCCCAGCTCCTGCAGACACTGACTTCACTTGCAGACACAGCTGTTACCTTTGATTTGTTGCCACCAGAACCTTGTAAAACCCACTGATATCTTTAGTTGTCCTCTGTCTTAAAAGTGATTTGCTCTGGCAGCATAATTCAAGGGAGGTTTACCTCCCATATACAACAGAGGTAACTACAAACTCTAAACATTTTACAAAATATAAACTTGTAAATATGTAAGCTTCCATAGATAAGTAGGTTTTTTCATAACACTTAAATGCATTCCAGCATTCTCATACATTCATTCACTACTGCAGTGGTCCTCAGCAGGGATTTCACTGGCTATCCCCAAGCTTCAGGAGACAGCATTGTGGCAATTCAGGCTGGATGCGAAAAGGGAAGTGTGAGAGGAAGTTTACAGTGTCTTTGTTTTCCAGTATATAACAAAATATTTTACTTTTGTTAGTATATTCTTTCCCCGCCCTTGCAATATTTACTTCTTTTAATGTTCACTTTCTTAAAAAATGTCAACAATTTAAACAACTCATGAGTGCAGAGAGACTTTTTAAAACCTGGATTTTATGCTGAGACATCACATATTTACATGAAGCTTCTAAGGTGTTTTTTTACAATAACGCAATATATTATTTTGCTTTTTTCCAAGCGTTATTACCTAGCACAGTAATACATGTTCCTGGGTATTACAGTGGTTATTATAAAAACTTTTAAGTTATGCTTAGAATGTACACTGGGGAACTCAGCAGCATTAGGATTTAACCATCTGCTCAGATTCCTTGCTGATACAGCACCATTGTGTGCCTGTCTGTTGTTACTGCCAAACTCTTGCAATTCTCCAAAAGAACTAGACTACCAAGGACTATTAGAGCTGTGGTGGGTGGAGACAGGAAAATACTGTGGCAGACTAGTCAGATTTTGCTGACTCTTCATCCTTTTTCCTGCTAGTTGGTGCAAGAGGTTTGTCTTAGTCAAAGTATGTGTTTAGTTTCCCGGGCATATGTACTAATCCATTACATTTGAACACGTTCATCAAACCTGTTTTACTGAGGCTGACTTGTGTTATGAGGAAGGAGGAACACTAACTCGCACAGAAGTTTTCGTTGCCCTTATGCAGGATTTCCCAATCTTCTTTCCATAGTCTCATTTTGCTGGAAGATTCTTAAAAGTCTCACCTGTGATTTGTGTGTTTCTCTGTGTTACTAGAGAAGCCTCACCTGCCAGGATTTTCACTCCTTTTTCCTTTAAAATTATCTGGCAAATGCCTTCTTAGAAAGAAAATTAAAAATGAAACAGGGAGGAATTCAACAGTATTGAGGAGACAGTAACAATGCCAGGCAGCCTTCCTGACTGGCAAAAGCACTAACATAAAAACCAGAAAACATGATCGCACCATGCTCTGTTTTTTGTACCACTGTAATTCCCTTTTGACCTCAGTATGAGTTTACTAAGTGTGTTTATCAGAAAGAATAGGCTGTACCATGACTTATAAATGTGTATTCTTTAGAGCACAGTTTTGAATAACAAAACATGGAGTCAGTATTTCTAATGCATATGGCAAAAGTATTTTAACATATTTGCTGGATTTATTCCAAAATTAGCTGTTAGTTCATAAGTGAAGAAAATCCTTTTTTTATCATGTTTTCAATGAAGGTACCACCATAACTAACATTGCTGGCACATTATTTGCCAGCTAGTTTTTTTTAAACTTTATAATTCAAAGGAAGCAGCATAGAAAAAAAGGCTGAGCTCTCACTTCCTGTTTGTCAAATCAAGCTATCAGTAAGAAGACAGAAGTAATTCTGTAGGCAGGTCTTACTCTTTTGAAGCTAAATAATTAATCTAAAATATTATAACTTTAAAATATCACTTTATCTGAACAAAGGAGCTGTAAGCCTTTGCATTAATTACATCCTGTCTCTTTTAAAAGTATTGGTATAATACAGCCCGCTGACAGAACAGTAAACAGTACACATGCTTATTAAAATACCTTTTTCTCCAGCAATGCTGTGGTTTGAAACAGGATTCTGTTTTATTGAAGGCTATTTGTAATGAATTGCAGTGACTGAACAGTGTCCTTGGTCTCTCTCTGTGCCTGAAGTTGAAGGCAAATATGAAGTGTACTGACAACAGCTGGAAGAAGAACCTTTGGCCTTGCCTAACATTATCCTCATTCCAGCATTACTTGAAAAATTTTAATGGGTATTTTACAAACTGTTACTGGCTGTTGCAGAAACAAAGTTGTATGTTTCATATGAACACGGCTTACATTACACAGGCATTTGAGCATAACAAACTGCGTAACAGAGAACGAAGTGGTGTGCACTGCTGTGCCAGCCAGTGGCTCGGAACAGGAACCACGAAGAGACTAACCCCACAGCACACCTTCAGTTCTGAAAGCAAGTAGCACCTTAACTAGCAGAATGGCTGAATCTAGTCATTGGCTTATTGAGGATGTAAGGAAATTTGTTTGCCTATAAAACAGATACAAGGTATATAGGCAATAGAATAGCATCAGTGCCTCTCAGATTTCATAACACAGTGATATGTTGCATCTTCAGTAACACGGGGATAGATAACTGTCACCAGAAACAAATTACAGTTTCATTGCTGTGACTATTATTTACAATGTCAGCACATAGAGAAATAGAAAAAATAGCAAAGAACTTAGGATGTTATTGGTAAATTAGTTGAGCTGCTAATAATTAAAGCCATCACAAAAACCTCAAATCAAAATCTGGAAGAAAAGACCTATGCCATTTGTGAATTTCATGACTGTGTAGACAGACCTTTTACCAAAAAGGACAATTTGTGCTTTGTTAAACTTACATTTTTTTAGGAAGTAGAAATAGTAAGTTACTGTGCAGAACTTGTCTTGTTGCATTCAGGCCAAAAATGATTGACTGGATTTGGCCGATTTTATTTTATGAGATGTGCTACAATGATTCCAGAGAAGCATCCAGCACATTTACTGAAAATCTTTAGGACAACAGAAACCTATGCTGGCAGGTTAGAAGAAGTGATTACACAATTATAGTTTAATGAGTTATGTCGCATCTGAGCTACATTGCCTGCATTCCTGAGCTACAGGAATGTTCCTTGCCTGCTGAAAACGTGGGGTCAAATATATTTTTGATCACTTTTAGGTTAACTCAAGTGAAGTAATGAAGATGGTAAAAGTGTGCACAGTTTTCATGTGCAGTAGTTCAAGAAGCACATATTAGCTGACAGCCAGTGGTTCATTAAGCAACATTAGCAAGCTCTGTCTGTGCCTACACTGATATGCTTCAAAGCAAACATTACATTGGTTTTGGTAGTGTAGGCCTTTTCTTTTATCACCATTCTATATGTGGAGAATTGAGGCACAACATTGATGATGATGTGCCTTTCCTGCAACTAAATAGGAAGTCCATGTCTGAACCAGGAATTAAGCCATGGGACTGCCAAATTGGATGTCTGGTAGTGCAGTACTATCAGAAGTAACACTGCTTGTATGTGTTCCCTGTAAAATAGTGCATGACTGATTTCCTTCTTTAAGTAATACTTTCCATGTAGTATTCTACATATATAAGCAGTGAGGAACTGCACATTAGTTCTTGTAAGAAAACAACTCTGAATAACATTCTGGGCTGCAGACATTGAAGCTGATCCTGAGATTAATCCAGATAGGAAGTTATAATTAAAACCTATGCTATCAAATAAAATGCCACTTTATTTGTCCTTACCCTCTCTTTTATCCTTTCTGGCAGATGACATTTGATCCTTCCATCTTCTTCAATATTTTGTTGCCACCCATTATATTTCATGCTGGATATAGTTTAAAGAAGGTATGTATCTCTTTCTTGTATTACAAAAGTGACTGAATGTGATTGCTACTTTGTAGATCCAACAGGCCAGTGACAGAGAAAAGAGTCAGTTAACATTTATATTGCATGGGAGGAACTTAACAGCAATGGAAGAAAATGAAAAGTGCATGGACCTCATTCTGCTCTCTTTCCACATCTGTGCAAAGATTTCATTGTGCCACTTATAATACTTGGGCATTCCTGTTTTCAGAAGAGACCACTTGAATCTGGTGACACTGCAAGTAGGCAGCAGCCTATCTGTGGTTTATGTACTGCATGATCAGGACTTTGTTCAAGGGATGGGGTTATGATTCTGTTTGCATCAGACGCTTTCAATATGAACTTCTATTATGATCCTGAAACATTTGGCTGGACACATAAAAGAGGGAATTTTGATAGCATTCCACCAGGCAAAAAAATAACCATCTAAAATTGTATTTTCTAAAATAATTGATGTAGCCTATATTGTTTCATCTTATATTTGAGATATGGGTTGTAACAAACAGCACTTCTAGATGCAGTGTTTCAACTTGGTGTGAATGTGCTTTTGTTGACTGTATTACAAAGGAATTTTTTTCAAACTTTCCTCCCCAGAGACATTTTTTTCGTAACTTAGGATCAATTTTAACCTATGCCTTTTTGGGAACTGCCATCTCCTGCATTGTCATAGGGTAAGTGAATACCTTCTGCTATTATTGCTGAAGTTGTTATTAGTGCCCTGTATTTTTTTCAATTAAAAACTCAACTGTAAAAAGAACTGTGGACCCTGCGTGGTCAATATACTTCACAACTTCTGTAATAGATAAAGTATTTCCTTATCACAGAATGCCAATATGGAAAAGACAAAACACTTGGATAGTAAGAACTGTCCAGGGAATTCAGGATGTCCTTCATTTCTGCTCTGTGACTGATGTAAGCATGGGCTGGTTTCTACAGCCCTGTAGCTTTAACCATCTGTCTTGAGAAACAGAACCATTCTCTTGATTGAAATTCCATGCTTCTAACCAGAATTCCTTCTAGAGGACAGCAGATCTCTAACAGAAAAGGAAGGACTTTAAATCTCAAAAGGGGGAGGAACAGATACCTAGTGGCATACATGTAAAATAACTGGAGTAGTTTCAAAGGCTGAGTGAAACTTTTTATTTGAAGATCACACAAAAATCCTCAGTCTGGAACTATGTGTGAATTTAGCCTGGATATGACTAAATGGCTTCTGCAGAAAAAGAAGAAGGGAAAAAAGCAGAGAGGCAGAAAATGCTGTTTTATTTCTGTACCTCTTTAGCAAAAAAGTTTCTAAATTTGTTTCAAAATTTGCCTAATTAAAGAAAAGATGTTTCTAGTCAGAAATTGATTATATATTTCCAGGCTGGCATGTTGTAAAAACTCCATTTGTCTGTTTGGTTAGCTCATTCAAAATTAAACAAACCATTTGAAAATCCTTTTGCATCTTAAAAGTGCACGTTTCACAATATTTATGAATACCACAAAGACACTTCAGCTCTCAGGTTCTCAGAAAATTCCCGATAAGGTGAAAACAAATGACCAGAGCTGGATTCTGCAGTGAGTGGGTATCTGTGCCTGCACAGAGCCTTACTGAGAAAAGCAATGCCCTATTCAGAGTTTAACCTTAGCATCTCTTGGCATCCCATGACATTTCTGTGCTACGAAGTGGTGCAGAGAGCTGAGCTGAGTCTGTGTGGTCTGTGGAGGTGATGGAGCAGTGCTGCATGTAAATGAGTAAGTCTTGCTGAGAGGCCTTGATCTTACTGGGATTGTGTAGAGTCAAAATGGGGAAAGACTCATGGAACTTTCTGGTGAGTAAGTCTTGCTGAGAGGCCTTGATCTTACTGGGATTGTGTAGAGTCAAAATGGGGAAAGACTCATGGAACTTTCTGGTATTCAAGCTTTAGACTAGGAAGCATACTGCATCTTACAGGATTTACTTGAGGTCCTGGGCCGTAGAACTCTGAAATGTACCGTTTACATCTCTGCATGAAATAGAAAGATTTATGGAAAGACTTCGGCTTTTGTGAGGATGCTTGAATTTGAAACTGGTCAAAATTCTTTACCTATGAACAGCACTTTCAAATTATAGAAGCAGTTGATTTTTTTATTTCTGTCTTTTCTCTTTCTTTATAATGGACGTTTATGAAAAATATATGTGCTACTTCAAGGTATAAGCTCCTTGCTGGTATTATTTTGATACGGAAGTTTCTCCTTTAATGTAATTTTGATAATAGTGAAGCACTTGATGACCGATAGCTTAGAGTTCAATAACTTTAAAACTGTTTTTTATGAGTATGTCATCACATCTATCTTGATATCCTAGATTCCTAATAATCAAGTAGCTTAGTAACCATAACGTACCTGAGGCACTGTGGGTATTAAATGTTCTGCAAGCTATGGTCACTCCAAATATCAGGAAATTTTAGACTCCACGATGAAAAGCAACATTCAGAGTATGATTACCTTCTGTGCTATGCATGTAACCTCTATATATGGCTGTTTCCTCTTCGTGTGAGACAAACTGCTGAACAGCTATGAGCTAAGGAGAAAGGATACCTTTGATTTCAGACACAAACTCATAAGTCCAGGAGACAGTTTGCCATGTGTCTCTCTTACTGGAGAGGAAAAGCTTAATCTTGCTTTTCTTTCTGAAAATTTGCTTTCCCTGAGAAATGGCACCTCATCCTCTCACCTCTCCTATTACTTCTTCTTCTCTAGAGAAGGATGTGATGCAGAAAGCTCTGGATCTTTGGGATCCTTCTGTTTTTGTGGGAACAGACATGGAGTTTTAATGACCCAGAACATACAGGATTCCACAAAATCACATAATTAAACAAGCAGAACAATTTCCTGCCTGCTTGCTTGATGTCCCTATATTTAAACCTCTCTATTAATTTATGTTAATTTCTTTGTGAGGTTCTACAGCTTGTGAGCTCCAAAAGCACTTATCCACATGAAACAGAAACATCAGTATCACATCACTGTCACTTAGGGGATGAATGCCTGCTCATAGATCCATGAAGGTCACAGCTTGGACAGCTACACCATTCATATTTTTCCCCATCTTTGTTGGCAATAATATAGACCTCCATATGACCCTAGCCCTTGGAGTTGTTTCTTTTCATGCCCATTTATATGGCCAATAGCACGCCTAATGTGGGAATTATAAATTCAGTAAAAAAATCTACATCCTGATAACAGTTTGAGCTGAATGGTAGAACATTACAGTGATTCTGGATCTCATTAGGACTCTTCCTGTGCTTCCTTTCACTTGTCTTAGCCACTGAATATTTCTGTCCTGTAAACCAATCACTAATAGCTCTGTGAGGCTGCAGAAAAGCAGTAGGGCTGTCCAGCCCAGTGATGCTCTTAAACATACATTTGGTTTATGAGCTCTGACATGTGTCATTGCCCTTTGTAAATGGAAAATGCCAGAGCAACTTTGACAAGCTTGTTAAAAGTAACATAATATATTGCGTTTAGCCTGAATTCCAAATACTAGCATTCCTGTATCCATGTTATTTTATCTAAAACAGAATAAATGCAGATAGAATCTACTACAGAAAGTTCCTACTAGCAACAATTCCTACTAGCAGTTCAAAGTTGAAGCCCATAGTCAGGGATAAAGATCCAGAGGAAACCCTAAGGTAGAGGAGTAAGCACAGAGCAGCACTGGACCTTCTACTGTGTTCCATACAAACTTACAACCCTCACTGAAATCATTGCAGAGAAGGCAGTATTCAGAGTAGGGCTTAGGTGAAGCATGTCTGCATAATGTACACATCAGGATAAGAATGAGAATGAGTGCATGAAGAAAGATGATATAAAAACTTTACTGAAGGGAAGTAGAAATAAGTCCTAAAAGAGAAACCTGTCCTATGAGAGAAGGGATGAAGAGCTATAGTTGTTATAAAAGAAAGGACAGAACCCTGAGGTACTTCTAGATTGTATTGCTATAGACAAGTACTTTGTGCATAGGCATGATTAAACATGTCCTTACTTTTTACTGTATATGCACAACACATACACATGTAAGTACATCAATATACGTAGGCTTTGTGCTGTTCCTGCCTGAATGAATTACAGAGTGCCCCACTGTGAACTCCCCCTGTGGGGCTTGCTGTAGTGACGGGCTACAGCCTATAACAAAGAAGAACCAGACCTCTCTGTAAACCAGAAATAGCTGGGAAATATCATTAATGAAGAACAGGAACATCATTTGGATTGTTGCAAACTTCGAGTGCTAAGAAGTTGCCATGGAACACACTAATACAATGATGCCTGTCTCCTCTTTGTAAATCTTTGCTTTTGTGTGAAAGGCTGTCTTCTGTCATCAAGAAAGAGGAACTGTGTGGAATTTGAGTGAAAAGGCTATAATCGGATATTCCCACTGAGGGCAGGGGAAGGAAGGACAAGAGAGATTGCTTTTTTTTTTTTTAGTGAAGCCAGTAGTGAAATGTAATTACTTTCAACTAAATACTGCTCTAAGGAGTGCCTGCCCATGTTAGCTATAATACTGTCCTCAGTCACTTAACACTCACGCAAGTTATAGTAATGCCGAGGCTCTCCCAGCTAGGCCAAATTATGCCCTTTGCACCAAGTCTGACTAGCAAGGATCCATGTGGAGACATCCCATGAGGGAAAGGATAAATTCCCCCACTCGAAGCAGAACTGACTTTGCAGAACTGCTGAAGCTGTCCCCTTCATTGTGAAGTCTGCTGACTCTAGGTCTGAATGATATAAGATCATATAAGATCCAGTCTCTCAACAGGTCTTTCCTCTGCCAGTGGCTCCAGCTTCCCATCTCCCGAAGAATAGTGTAGGATGATCAGTGAGACAGGTCCTTACTCCTAAGAAAAATCATACGGGTTAAGTCTTTCTGAGGCTTTCTCTGATACAGGGTGGGCAGTCTCTTGCTGTAGCAGACTACTTGAGTTTCACAGACTCAGAGAATAATTTAGGTTGGAAACAATGTCTGGATGTCTGCAGGCCAACTTCCTAATAAACGCATGACTGGCTTCAAATTTAAATCCAGTTGCTCAGGGCCCTGTCTAGACAAGTTTCAAATATCTCCAAGAATGTGAATTCCACTGGCTCTCTGGGAAACCCGTTCCAGTCTTAACCACCCTCACTACAAAGATTGTTTTTCTGTATATCCAGTTGGAATTTCCCATGCTTCATCTTGTAACCATTGCCTCCTGTCCTTTCATTGCACGCCCCTCAGAAGGTGGCTTCATCTTCTCTCTAACCACCTATTAGTTGAAGAGAGCAGTTACCTCCCCTCCTAGTTACAAGAGAAAGCTAAGATTCTTTTCTCCAGGCTAAAATAATCCAGCCCTGTACATCATGCCTATCAGCCCCCTTGCTGGTTTTCTGCTGGACTGTCTGCTATCAATCTTTCTTGTACTGGGGGTCCAAAACTGAACACGTTACTTCAGATGCCACCTCACAAGGGCCAAGAAGAGCCTAATTGCTTCTCTTGACTTGCTCACTACACTTCCATGAACACAACATGGTTCACAGTTAGCCTTCATAGCTGCAGTGATGAAGTCTACTTCAGACTCATGCTCAACTTTATATCCTCCAGGACTCCAGGGGTCTTTTGCCCATAGCTGTGTAGCCACTCATGCTCCTGTGTGACTTGCATGGGATTATTCTGTCTTTG